CTGGTCGCAGACGCCAACGCCGAATGAGTGAAGGTCTGATGCGGGGTGAAGCAATCAGCGGGCGGCAGGGCCTCGATCCCTCCCTGCGTGTGCAGTGTAGAGTAGTCGCAGCTCGACAATCGATCGACTACCAAATCTGTCAACTGGTCTCAGCGCCGCTCATGACTTGGCTTGGTGTTCTCGGGCTACTTGGAGAAACATGATGACTACCTTAAGTACTGTTGTAATTTACAACTACCTTGAGTACCTAGGTATTTGGGCATTCTCGATCGCAACTGCCGTCTGGTTCATGCTGAATTACGTAAGTAGGTAGGCACCTAACCATCATCAGCTTCAGCTCCCTACACACGACGAATCTGTATCAAACGCCGCCACGGACTCCATCCAAGTCGCGAAAGGTGTCTCAGATGCGCAAAGTTGAGCCTCGGATACACGAGGCAACCCCAACCACCTTTAAGCTTCCTACCCCAGCATTTAGGAGACTTCCTGGTGGCTAAAGTGAGCAAGACACGACATCCATCCCATGCGCGTTCCTTTACTTCCCCAACCACGGGAGCATGCAACGTAATGAGCCGACCAAAAGTCTCCCAAACGGCCGTATTAGTTGAGGGCAGTAGCAAGGGCCCTTGGCTACTTTTGAAAAGAAGATAAAAAATCTCACAAAAAGTCAACCTCCCTCGAGCCGCGACAGCCACGACAGCCACGACACCACAGAACCTGGCGCCCAATGCTACACCAGTTGCGCGGAGCCGGGAGTACGAATGCTGATACGTGCAAGTGGGTGTCTCAATAAAGTCTCCCGCTGTTCTGGAAAATCACATCCTCGCACCAGCCTCAGCTTGATTCACATCTTCCTGACGTACCGTGTATCAGTCATTTGCCGCCTCCTGGCCGCTGGGAGACGACTGTCCGCGTCGTCCAGTGCAGAAGCACCAGCAGCTCACAGTGAGCATTGTCTTGTCTTACTCGTATTCTAGTCAATAATATTTGCGGGCAAGTTGGCTCCGACATGATCCCGGAGATGGATGCTCTGGTCGGGAGAAATCTGTACTCCGTAGACAGGCGGGCATTTCCAATGGTTTGACTCTCGAATTCCGCACCGGGCAGCGTCAAGTTGAAACCATCAGACTCGCGTACCGAGTAACCAATTATCTGGGAATCGTGTCAGAGACCGATCAAATTAACAATGCCCGGACCACTTTCATGACGGGAGATGATCCACGGTAGCCTCGCGCACCCGTGTTCGGTGCCCTCCTGCTGTGGCCCTACGAGTGTGGGAATAGCGCAATACGCCGAATAGCGTTGAAGCCAATTCCTTGGTAGCTCAAGCAGTTGCAGAGAACGAGTGCTTGATTAAGCTTGCCAACTGGTCAACACGGTCAACAAATAATCAGAAAGATTCTCTGAATAGAGCAAGAAACTGAATTACTGAATAACAGTCGCATCTTGATAGGACCCTGGCTTGTCATCGCGACGTGCCCAGGTTCCAAGAGGGTGCCCACTGAAGTTCTAAGTACTTACCTAGGTACTTTAGGTAGGTACTTAGCGGGCTTATTAGTAAGTACTTACGTTCGGTGCCTAGGTACTGAATACTTAAGTGCCCAAGTACTACAGGCTACCAGTGACCACCGGCATATTGGGGCTTGGCCTCTGCTGCCAAGTTCCCCTTTGGCCGATGTAGGAGACAGCCGGTTGCGCACGAAACAACGGCCCAAGTACTGAAGCAAGTACTTTAACCAAGTATCTAGGTACTTAACTTACTTAAGATGACCAACTGCTTCAGTACTAAGTAAGTACCAGACCCGAGGACGCAGGAAAGCTCGGCACAACACGTACTTAAGAGGTACTCCAGTATGGCAAAATGTCTGGTTGAAACATTGTAGCAAGGGAGAATGCAGCGGACCCGACCATTGCTCAGCGACCTGCCAGACCTGACCATTCATTCCTCTTGCCACGAAGTAAGTAACTTGATCAAAGCCTCGTACCTTGGTATCTGAGTACTTGAGTACTTGAGTACTTAAGCAGGTTCACAGTACTCGAGGTGCCTCATGTCTGGGTTTGACTGGCCTTGAGTCAAAATCGCAGCACTGGCATATTCATCACATATCACAGGCATCAATGGGCACGGCGTCGCCATGGGCCATGCAGGGCGAGACCACAAGACCTGCACTCATCCCATTCTTCAGCGCTGTGAGTCGGCGACTTTGTACGGAGCAGTAGCCAGGCCACCACACGGCCGTGGCGCCGCCATTTTCAACAGCCGGCCACCCGGATCATTTGGCATGATTTCGACGATGGCGGCGCGGCTGGCTCCCAACGGAACTGGGAAACGGTGGAAGGGATTGGCCCACCCACCCGACGGCACCGGGGACTGTGGTAACGGTGGAATGGCGCGAGTTATTTCATCTCGAAACGCACTTTATTGCCATTTGCGTCGCCAAGGCTCCGTAGCCATCAGTGCCAAGAAACTTGGCTTGGGTAGTTTTTGGGATCTCCGTTGACAACGACGCCAGCCCGCGCTTGTTGCTACTCGCGCGCAGCGTCGAATCTACCTGCTTGACGTACTTATGTTGGACGGCACTGGCGCCCCAAGCTTGATCCCAGGTGTGAACTACCGAAGCACACACGATGTGGGATGTGGGAACATATGGACGACATGTGTTGTGTGTGTACCGGACAATTCACTGCCGCATGTTCGAGTGTCATCGTCGTTGTCGTCGCCGCCTGGTATCAGGTACGGCCGGACCGGCTTTTTCTTGTGAAACACGTCCCCAATGACACCATGGCCCTGCCGCACCTCTCGTTGTGGACGGTGACAGACGATGCTTCATCATGCATGGCTTGGCGGCTGTTGCTGTTGCCTGTGTCTGATCCCTGGGTTGCCTACCTGGCTCGGTAGGGAGTCGGTCGCTGCCGACTCGAGGTAGGTATTGCGACCTCTAGAGTCTGTGCCAAGCAAGCTCGACAGCATCGAGCGCAAGCAAAACGAAACCCGTTCAGTCTTGGGCAGAGGGCAGCCCGTTCAAGGCACGGTGCACGTGGTCAGTCCCTCGGTCCCCCAGTCCCCTGACGATGGGATCCCAGACGCTGCGATCTTGCGGTCCATGTCGGAGGCACGGAGCTGTGGTCTGGTGACCCGATCTTGTCGTGTGAGTTCGACCAGACGTTTCATCGGCATGTGTCGCGTCCGTTGGCCCCATGGCTTCACCCGTCTGCACAATTTGATATGCCATGCAGTGTGCACTTTTCCGGGGCCTCCTTGCCGAGGCCGTATCAAAACCGAAAGTCTAGACCTGCCGCATTTACCAGACTCTGCCTGCGCCTGCCGGTAGGAAGTATTGTAAGATTGCTCCCTCCGAGCTCACAGGAGAGGCTGGCTACCTTGGTAGTATCGTCGAATTCGAGCCAGCACGATGCTACTGCTCGACTGGGTTTGGCTCATGCATCGGCCCAGCGCACCCCCTTGTCGATGCCCTTCCGGGCACGGCACAGATAGCAAAGAACCAGCAATTGAGCAAGAAGTCTCATTCGTGGCCCTGCTCTAGAGTTGTATTGTACGTCCATCATGGCCGTGGTCCATGGCGTCCCCCCAACCGAGTCGGGGCTCACTACTTTCGGAACGGCTCAAGTGCGTCCTGCTCGCCTGCGCTCACAGCTCTCTCGGTACGGAGTGGACGGGGCCAGGGCCTGGGTTCTCGAGCTGGAGCCGTCTGGTCGACAAGGCACGATACCACGTCGTTAGCACCAGGCCTGAGGAAGTCCGCCGGACATGGCGTACTTGTGCCTGTCGTGCCCTCTACCCTCTACCCGCTACCCGCTACCCGCTACCCGCTACCCTCTACCCTCTACCCTCTACCATCCTCTCGACTCCACTGCCTGCCCGGCCTGGTCATGGTCGCCCGGCCTGATGTTTCTGGTATCTCCTTCTCGTATTACCCAAGTACTCAAGTGCCCGCCAACCGTGCCGAGTAGCACTTTGCACCTTGGTCGTCGGCGCGGCGCCCCAGCAGTCATGTCGGCCGTCATGTCATGCTGGCGCCACCAGGCTGCAGAGGAAGGCCCTGCCTGGCAACCTAGCAGCAGCCTGTCTGGGTCTGGGTCGCCTTGGTCGCTTTGGGCCTGTCTGTACCTGTCTGTTCTCAGGACGCAGGAGCATCGCCGTCCGGGATGGAAGGTGCCAACGCACACTGTCCGCCTGCACTGTGCCATGTTGCCTGTGTCCCGTCTCTTTCCCGCGGCCCTCGTCCAACGCCGCCAAACCTTCTTCCCTCCTCCTTTTCTCCGTCCTTGCCTCTCCGTCTCTCCTTCCCACCTCGAGCAGAATTGGTCTCTGTTGGCGGGACCGACGTGATCTCAATAGACGACTTGCAATGCCTCAATCTGTCGTCGCAGCTGGCACGTCGGATTGACATGCTTCTGTCGGCTGCTGAGCACGCCTCTTCTCTCTAATCCTCTGGGCCTAACCCCTCCAATTACCCAACAAACCTGTCGAAACCCCCCGCCATCCGCCGTCCGTCATCCGTCATCCGTCATCCGCCCGCCACGCCCGCCACGGCGCCTCATCAGTCTCGCCTCTCCTGCCTGCTTGCTGACTGAACCCGACACAAACACGCACACGCACACGCACACGCACACGCACACGCACACCACACACACACTCATAAACTTCGCCGTCAATCTCACACTCACACGCAGACATCACACTCACACGCAGACACACACACGCAGACACTCACTCGCTCTCTGTACTCGTACAGTGCCAGTGCGGCTGCGCACCCGAGTGTCTGTGTCGCCATCATTTCAGTCTACGAGCTCACCCCGCGACCGCAATCCCGCCTCTTGCATTGCAATCCGACACCCAGAGGAAAAAAAAAAGGAGGAAGAGCAGTCCCCAGCCGTCGCCGCCCGTCTCGCGCGACCGTTTTCATTTCCCGCGATAGGACACGCCTGCCATGGTTCTGGACGACTCTGGCCCAAGGCTCTCCTCGCGCTCTTCAACAATGTCGAATCCCACCGCAGCTGCAAGTGCTCCTGCTGCTGGCACCAGCAACCCCCCGCCTGCTGACGACTCTGGTGAGCTCTGAGCCCGCTTTCGCACGACACCTTTGCTTGCACCGCACTGCACTGCCTGCCTGCCTGCCTGCCTGCCCCTCCACTTGTTCCGGCCACGACGTGCCTCGACGCATGCCATCGGGTCACGTCCAGTCACACATGCCGTGTCGGTTCCTCGCCGGTGTCGCTTGATATTTCTGTGCTCATTCGGCTGACCGTTTGATGAACTTGTACTTTAGCCTCTACCATTACTGTAAACACCAAGGCACCTTCCGCCAACTTTCCTCCCCCCAAGACGGATAAGCCTCGTCCGCACGTCTGCGCAACTTGCCAGCGCTCCTTCGCTCGACTCGAGCACCTGAAAAGACACGAGCGTTCCCATACCAAGGAGAAGCCATTCGAGTGCCCCGAATGCGCGCGATGCTTCGCCCGTCGTGACCTGCTGCTTCGCCACCAGCAGAAGCTTCACCAGACATCTACCCCGTCCTCGCGCCCTCGCAATCGACGCGAGTCTGCCAGTGGTGTCACTCCCGCACAGAGCCGACGTAAGAATAGCGTGGCCGGTGTCAACGCCGCTGGATCCGGCACTACCGCGGCTTCGATGCGCCCGAGGGCAAACACCATCAGCCACGTAGATGGTGCTGCGATGCAGATGCTCGCCTCAGCAAATGCCTCGGTGGCGCGGGGCATGGCTCATAGCCGTCACCCGAGCCTGGTTGGACTCCCGGTCCATAACCTGGATCACGTCTTTGGTGGCATGTCTGCTGTTCTGGGCCAGAGAGGACTGCAGCATGGACTCCCCAAGCTGGAGACGTCACAAATCGGGAACAACGACTTTGACGCTGGTGGCCTGAGGACGGCGCCGCCCATGGCCGTCTTCAACCCAGAGTTCGACTTTGAAGGTCTCTTTTTCGGGCCAGCATCTACAATCAACCCCAATGCTCTGCACTACAATGACTCTCCGCAGTCAATGGCCCTGGACCAGACATCTCAGTTCGGTCAAGGTCTGAACGACGTTGCCACGACGCAGCACTTTGATGACAATCTTGACTGGGTAACGGGCTTTGAGCATCAGATGTCATTCAACACCAACGAGCACGTGATAGACGGATCGAGCCCGTCTGCTATAAGCACGACGAGTCAGAGTGGGATTAGCGATGTCATGGTAGATGGATCAAACCACCCGGCCCCAGCTGGGACGAGTACCATGTGGCAACCTTCCGTCATGGGACCCCCGCAAATGCCGAACCCGTTTGCGATGGATTTGAATGGTTCAGTCTTTCCAGACCTCCTTAGTGGTGCTCCATTATCACCTCAGCCAGCTACTCAAAAGATCAATGACCCGTACTTCTCCGCGCCTCCAACTTCGCTGAGCTCGCTGAGCACTTCCGTCGTATCTGGAATAAATTCTCAGCCCCTGAACCCTCCCCTCGGCCTCGACGCCGCACAGGAAACTCCGCCATCCCTCAACGGGGGGAACCACGCCGCGCCTCCCGTGACAACTATAACAGATGCCACCCGGACTGCTATCGTGACTATTCTTTCCCACTGTCTGCCCTTTGGTAGCCGTAAAACCCCTTCTTCATTTTCTTCTCCAGGCTCGCCGTTATCGCCTCAAAGCCAGCCGGGCAGCAGCTCCTCGTCGTACCGGGCTATCGACGTTCCCAGTACCCAGGATCTCCAGAGATATGTCAAGGCTTACTTGACATGTTTTCATCCGCATCTCCCATTTTTGCACCTTCCTACGCTGTCTTTTGACGTGTCTCCCGATTCAATAGGTCGTTTTAATGGCGCAGGCGGCAATGGATGCCTGCTGCTTTCCATGGCTGCATTCGGCGCTGCTTACGAGATGGAACATGCTCAGTCCAAAGACTTGTTTGACATGGCCAAAAAGATTGTCTTTTTTTATCTCGAGGAAAGACGCAAGTCAGATGTCCGCAGAGCCGATGCACGACGGAGCACCATCTCTACAGACTCAAAGGTCCAACAGAACCAGGCGCAATCCAGCACACCGTTGTGGCTCGTTCAAGCTATGCTTCTCAACGTCGTCTACGGCCACACCTGCTCCGATAGAGTGACGAGTGAGATCGCGTCGACACATTGTGCTTCTCTGGTCAACCTCGCCCAGTCTGCCGGCTTAATCAGCCGAGGCAAGGGCAGCGCGCCAACCAAGCAAGATGTCCACATGACTGATACCGGTAGCTGGACGCACGTATCTGAGCAGGAAGAACATGAAAAGTGGCTCCGGTGGAAGTCTATGGAGGAGCGTAAACGCACGGTATACGTCATCTTCATCCTGTCCAGTTTGGCTGTTGCCAGCTTCAACCACAGCCCGGCCTTGAGCAATTCCGAAATATCACTGGACCTTCCGTGCGACGAAGAATTCTTCGCTGCGGAGTCTGGTGACGTCTTTGCCTCACAGGGAGGAGTGGAAGCGGCAAACCACAACCGCCTCACTTTCTTTGACTCACTGGCAGGTCTTCTGCGCACAAGCGAGAGACAACGCTCCGTGGGCAACAGCAAGGCTCAGTTCGGATCACCATTGACCACTGCAGACGCACCTCTGACGAATCTGAGACCCAGCACGTTTGGCTGTTTGGTGCTCATATACGCGCTACACAACTACATATGGGAGACCCGACAACGCCACCCCAGCGGGACGTGGACTGTCGCAGAAACCGAAAAGATGCACGCGCACATCGAACCGGCCCTCATGGCTTGGCAGATCGCATGGTCCAGCAACCCGCAACACAGTATTGAGCGTCCAAATCCGTTTGGCTTGGGACCAATGTCTGCAGACGCGATCCCTCTTCTGGATCTCGCGTACGTCAAGTTGTTTGTTGACTTTGGTCCGGCCAAGGCGAAAGTTTGGCAACGAGACTGGGATGGCATGATCAAGGAGCTGTCCCGAGTCTGCGAGACGCAGGATGAAGCACGGTCGCCAACTTGTTCCGAATCTGGCACAGACCCGTTGTCCAGCTCGGTCATGAACTCCGGATTCATGGACTCGCCGGCGACGCAAAGCTCCCTTAGCGGCATGCATGTTGACAAGTCTTTCGACGGCGAGCAGGAAGCGAATGGTACGGGGCGGAGCATATCACGACGATGCGAGAGATACCTAAGAACAGCCTCCTTCTATGCTGTTGACTCTCTATCCATGTCGGACAAGCTCGGAGTCACGTTTGCGGACAAGACTAGCCACGAACTGCCCATGCAGACTGCTATTTGCGCTGCTGAATGCGCGCAAGTGGTTGCCGGGTGGATGACGATGCTCCAAGAGCGAGTCGGCCCGTACCTAGGTATTGTGGGCCAAGATGATATGGATTTCAGCCAGGTCCCTGCGATTATCCTCTTGGAGGAAGAAGATATTAGGCTTTTGGACAAGGTCAGAGACATTTTGTCGACGGCGGAGCTGAAGATCAATATGCGGCTAGGATCGAATGCTGAAGGCGCGACCAGTGGACATGAGTCTGTCTTATCGCCGGATGGGTTCACTGGCTATGCGTCTCAAATCCTTCGTCTCGCGGCGTGGATGGTAAGCAAATCCGGGGTTTGGCCTGTGACTCATGTTGCGGCTCATGGGCTGGAGACGTATGCGAATCACTTGCGAATGAGGGCAGAAAAGTCGGTGGCAGGGTCCATGCCGCTGTCTATGCAAGACGTATGAATCTGAGCATTGCCCAAGATGGTGTCTTTTCTTGACCTTTGCGAAATCAAACAATGCACGGAGATACTCACCGCGCACACTGCCATGGCTAGAGACGCGCTTTCTCGCGGCACACCGCGTCTTTTGCGTCTATTAGCATGATGTGGCTTTTCCGTTTTTCTACTTTTTGCACCCATGGGATTACCGGCAGGTCTGGCGCACGGTTGGATTGGGCATTTGCTAGAGGCCTGCAGCACCGTTCAAGGCTGCGCCGGCCCGTGAGTGCGTTCACGTTCTTCATGACCCTCATGACCCTCATGACCCTCATGACACAACATGACGTCTCTGTACAAGTACATGAAAGTTACTACTACCTTTTTATTTTTTAGTTTTTGGCGGAAACTGTGGTAGAGGAGAACGACTGGCTAGGTGGCATGCTCGGCTGGGCGGCGCGGGGAGGATTCACATGACTGATTTTCTGTTGCAACAAGACAAGACAAAACTTCCTTACCTAGCCACCGAGAAGTAAGCAGGTCATGGGATGAAGCATCCAAGGCAGAGAGGGAGGGTTCTTTGGGCATTCATGTTTCTGCATCCCTACGACATGGGCTTATGCCTTGGAACAGTTCAATGTTCTGGGCTCGTTTGATGTTTTGTAAATAAGACGGTGAAACGAATGTATATCGCGAACATACAGTGTTCAACCTCTACATCTTTAAATCATATCAGAGGCTTCCTTCCTGATTGGGGTGGGACCCACGTGACCCACCCCGAGTCCGAGTCGGAGCCCCAACTGAGAATAAGGCTGGGCGTTGATTTCCTCGCGCCAACATTCTGCATTCTGCATTCTGCATTCTGCATTCTGCATTCTGGTCAGCGCACCACCCACGACGCCGACCGGTGCCTCTCGTCTACACGCAAGCCCATCCCGCCGAATGGAGCCGGCACGGGACGCAGGCAGACCGCCGCGCTTCGAGGTCCCGCACGACGGGTCCCTGTCCCAGTTCAGGGTGCCCCCCGACGGCTGGATCCGGGCCAACAACAAGCCGTGGGACGGCATCGCCACGGGCGCGCTCGTGTTTGACGCCCGCGGCCGCGTCCTGCTCCTCCGGCGCGCGCGGCACGACTCCATGCCCGGCCTGTGGGAGGTGCCCGGGGGCGCGGTCGACGCCGACGACGCGACCATCCTGCACGGGTGCGCCAGGGAGCTCTGGGAGGAGGCGGGCCTGGCGGCGCGCCGGCTGGTGCGCCTCGTCACCGAGGGCCGTCCCGGGGCCGGCGCGTTCCAGGAGTTCCGCAACAGCACCGGGACCAAGCTGATTGGCAAGTTCCAGTTCGAGGTGGAGGTGGAGGTGGGCGAGGGCCAGGCGGTCAGGCTGGACCCCAACGAGCACCAGGACTTTGTGTGGGCGACGGAGGGCGAGGTCGCGCGCGGCGAGGCCCGGGGCACCAAGATCCCCTTCACCAAGGCGAGCCACAGGGACGTTGTGCTGGAGGCGTTCAGGCTGAGGAGGGCGGCGCAGGGCGCACAGTCTCTACCGTGAGACTCCACTGGTGTTTTGGAGTTTTTCTCCCCCGCCGCGGATGGCGGGAAGGGATACAAGCGGACATGGGAGAGGACACAAACGTTGGGGTCACCCGAGTGCCCTTGTGCAAGTGGACAGGATGGAGGGGGCCCAACAGGTTCTGCTGCCTTCTTGGGGGAGTAGATACATGTGCAAGGGGGGCTTTTTGTGTGTCAGTCTCCCGGACGGACGATGGCAGACATGGCCAGGCTATCCTCGTCTCTACCGCGCAATGTTGCTCCTCATAAGGGCGATGCGCTTCGTGGAATCATCAAAGGCCCCCCGATCCAGCGTCCCGTTCTGCACGGCCCCGACGATCCCGTTTCTCGCCTCCTCTCCCTGCGTAGGGTCCCTCCCGCTCGTGATGATCAACTCGACGCCGGCGGCTGTAGCAGCGACGGCCCTCTCGCCGAAGCCGCCGTAGGCGTCGAGCGATCCAGCCTCGAGGGCGTCGGTGACGGTGACGCCCTCGAAACGCAGCTTTCTACGGAGCTCGTCTCCCCAGAACTTACTCAGGCCGGCCGGTTTGTCATCCACGGCGGAGTACACGGCCCACGAGAACATGACGAGGGCGACGCCGGCGCGGATGGCCTCCTTGTAGGGCGCCTCGTCGACGGTGCGAATGTCGCAGAGGGTCTGGTTCAGCACGACGGGCCGCGCGTCCGTGTTGGCGTCGTGCGGCGCGGCGCCCAGGCCGGGGAAGTGCTTGGCGCAGGCGGCCACGCCCCGGGCCTGCTGGGCGGCGATGAAGGGCACGGCCGCCCTGGCCACCTGGTCCGAGGTGTTTCCAAACGAGCGCTGGTAGAAGTCGGTGAAGTCGCCGGGCTGCCTGTAGATGTCGAGCACGGGCGCCAGGTTCACGTTGCACCCGTAGGTGAGGAGAGTGGCGGCGGCGCCGGCTCCGGCCTTGGCTCCCTCGGCGGCCGGGTCGCTCGAAGCCCCGATCTCCTTGGCGCTGCGCTTGGGCTCTTGGTCCTTTATGCGGCGCACCTTGCCGCCCTCCTGGTCCATCATGACCATGAAGCGGGCCTGGCCCTTGAGGTGCGTCTTGCTCTTGAGCACACGGGGCGCGGGCGATTTCCTGTACGCCTCCTTGAACGCGTCCACGGTCTGCTTCGTGTTGGGGCCGATGTTCTCGGAGAACAGGATGATGCCGCCGACGAGCCCGGCCTCGGTCAGACGCAGCAAGTGCTCCGGCGGCTCCGTGGACGAGTAGGAATACACGACGCGCTGGCCGGCGAGGATGTGCAGCTCGTACAGCCCGGGCGTCTTGCACAGCTCGCGCAGCTCGGGCAGCTCGTCCAGCTCGTCCAGCTTGTCGCAGCTCGTCGCCCGGCTGGCTCCAAGCAACGCCGCGGCGGCCGCCAGCGACTTGAGCATGTAGTTGGGCAGCATCGTGAGGCTCTCTTGTTTCAGAAGAGGGTGGGTGTCTGTCCGTCAGTCTGTTGATCTGAGCCCTCGCCACAGAGTCGGGAAGCAGTGCGTCCTTTTAAGCGCAGCCACGGCAGGGGCTCCCATCAAACCATCTCAGCCGCCTTGATCCGTCCCATGGGCTGTGGTCGTGGCATTTGCGGCCCAGCTGCTCCACCATGAAGACTATTTGAATGGGTTACGCCAACGCAGGACGGCCAGCTTGGATGCCAGCGAATCAGAGGGCATTTCCGCACCGCGCACCGTTGGAGCCAGGCGAAAGAAGTTCGTTTCGCGTTTGTGGGACTGGTTGGGAGGAAAGAAGACGAAACTTTTTTATTTTCCTTGCGGCTGGGTACGCTTGCCGCGGAAAAGGCCATGGATGGATGGGATGTGGTTGGTTGTCGGAAGTTGTGGGGACCGACAAACCTACTCGACTGCCGACCACGTGAGCGATGCGCGAATCGGAATGGAGCTGCCGGTCCGACGACAGAGCAAAGCTTCACCCACCGCTCGTCCGGACAGGGAGTGACGGACTTGCAGAAAGTATGTTTATTAATTGTCTGTCGGGCAGACTCTGCCAGCAGCCAGCTGGCCGCGGACGCACACGCTGCCAAGAGCGGTCTAGGTCCAGGTCTAGCTCGCTCGCCGCCTCGTACGGGCCGCGTTGGAGAGAGAGGAGCAGAAGCGAATCGAGATTTCCGCACCACCACCACCACCACGACCAGCACCGACGACGAGGACGGCACCGTCATGCGCGCCAGGAGCAACGGGCAGGCTGCTACCGCTGCTGCAGAGTCCAGACTCAAACGTCCCTCCCCAGCGCCCTGGCCACCCAGGCGCCCAGCGCCTCCCGCACACCGTTGTTGCTGCTCCATCTCCTCGACGGGTGCACGCGGTTGCTCAGGTGCACAAACAGGGTGCCGCTCGCACGGTCGACGACCATGGACGTGCCGGTGAAGCCCGTGTGGCTCGCGGCCAGCATGTTGGCCATGGGCCCCGCCGTGTAGAACTGGTTCAGCTCGAAGCCGACGGCGTGATGATGCCCGCCCAGGCCGCCGAGGAAGTCGGTGAAGAAGAGGTCGACCGACGCCCGCGACAGGATCCGGCGCCCGCCGTACGTGCCGTTGTTCAGCAGCATCTGGCAGAAGCGCGCCGTGTCCATGGCCGTGGAGAAGAGCCCGGCGTGGCCGGCGACGCCGCCCAGCGCCCACGCGTTCTCGTCGTGGACGCTGCCGCGCACCGGCTGAGGCCGCCGCGGCTCCCCGGCCACGTCGCCCTGCACCGCCAGCTGGAACTCCTGCGCCGCCATGTCCGCGTAGTGCTCGAGCCGGGGGCCCTCGACGTTGCCCCTGTTGAAGAAGGTCCTGTCCATGCCCAGCCGCGTCGTCACGTCCCCGACGAGCTCGTCGAGCCGCCTGCCCGTGACCCTCTGCAGCGCCAGCCCCAGCACCATGAAGTTGACGTCCGAGTACAGGTACCTCGTGCCCGGGCTGTGCTGCAGCCCCTGCGCCGCGATCGCCCTGACCCTCGACTCGTACGTCGGGTACCTGGGATCAAAGAGCCCGGGAACCGGGTCCGCCGCCAGCCCGCTCGTGTGCGTGAGGAGCTGCAGCACCGTCACGCCGCCCTTGCCCCCGGCCGCAAACTCGGGCAGGTACCGGGCCACGCTCTCGTTGAGCGACAGCCGGCCGCCGTCCACGCAGCGGAGCGCCGCCGCCGCCGTGAACACCTTGGTCAGGCTGGCCATGTCGTAGATGGTGTCCGTCGTCGCCGCCTCCTGCTCCCGCGCCGGCAGCGGCGTGCCCTCGGCGCCGTCGACGCCCGCCCACACGTTCCGCTTCCCGAACGCAAAGTGGCTCACGATGGTCCCGTGCCGGGCCACAATCGTCGTGCCGCCCGGCTCTATCGGCACCGTCTGGTTGTACGACCGCCCGCCCCAGTTGCGCCGCTCCGTGAATCCCGTCAGGTTGGCCACCATGTCCTCGAGCGGCCCGGGGAGCATCCCCACCGACTCCGGGCTGCCGTGCTTGAGCACCTCGCGGTTGGCCTTGGTCCTGGTCGTGCCGGCCGTCGCCGTCGCCGTCGCCGCCGCTCCCGAGGCGAGCGCCGCCAGCGCAAGAGAGACGGCGCCACGCACCCTCGAGACGAGCATCGCGGGCAAGCAAACGTCGCAACGAGCACCCGCCACGTGTGTATGTGTCGACGAGATCAAAGATGAGGGGGCGGGATGGAAATCGTGATGGTCAAGAAACCCAACCCATCTCCTCCCGCACCGCACGGCCGACTCACTTATTTATCCATTTCCCACAGTGACCGAGGCACGGTCTCCCCCTCATCACACAACACCTCGCCCGGCAAGGGGGGTCCCCGGGTAGCGTTGCGCCTCGTCGTGGGTCTGACCACGCTGGATTCCTCACACCGCCGCAGGAAAGAACTTGTCCCGTGAACACAGTGTGGTGGCCCAGGTGGTGCTGCCGGGAGCCTGCTGCGGAGCGATTGATTGGTCTTTTGCTGGCAGCAGCTTTGGTGGCATTTGTCGGACATGCCTTCTGGCTAGTTCCCAGCCCATGCTGTGGACGCATCTACTAGTGCATGGCCTAGTCGCCAGATGGTCCACAGGGAACGGCGTCTATGGCCCTATCGAGGCGTCAAAATACACACCACTGCAGCAAAAGAAATCGCCGGCAGTCATTATTTTGCTTTGCTGTGTGCAGACTCTGCCTCTGCATGTACATGGTCACATCTGTCCGGCTCGTCCAAATCATCATCAGTCTTGCGTTACTTGGGGACCGACTCTGCCAGGTCCACATGCTGATAGCCCTTTCCAACGCCTTTGGTCGCTTCCCGTGCAAGTGCAGTATCGATGCAAAACAATACATTACGCCCTCCCCCATCCCACATGCCTTCACTGTTACCCAGTGAAAAAGATTACCAACCACAAATTGCATCTTCCCCTCTCTTTCCAGTGCCCCGAATTGGCCTCGCTCCAGCCCCTGCTCTGCCCAATTCTTTCAGCTGACGGCATTGGCGTCGTCGCTTCCATCGGCCTGCGTCGCCACGTTTGCATGATCCGGATCCATCGGCCGCCGCGAAATCTCGAGACTCCTGCTGGGCATTCGACCGCCTGGGGCTCTGGGATGTGCCACATTGACCCGTCCGCTTCGCTCCAATATTCTCGTGCCCATCTCGTCAGAGTCATCCGATCCTGAATCGTCGTCCTCATTCCTGTAGCCTGCGTTTGCCAGACGAGTAAAGTAATCCGCCAGACCGTCCACGCTCGGGGTTCCAATCACTGCGTCGTATTGCGGAGGCGGTGTCATCAGGGGAGTGTGTGCTGCCCCTTGGTCTTCGGCCAAGACAAGCGGTGGCGGCGCTGCGTCGTCGTCAAACGCTGGCGGGTTGAAGCTGGGCACACGCAACAGGTGAATGGGCCGCGGCTCGCCTTGGATGCCCGAGTCATCCATCGACGGCAAGGCACTACAGCCGTTGGCCATGGGGCTCACTGCCGAGTGCGCAACATGAGCAGCTCGGGGCGATAGCGGGAAACCATCATTACTCGGTTCCGTACCGGGCAGCGCGCCCGTGGATGAGTTTGGCGAACCTTCGTATGGCAACGAAGCCGCGTCGGGGCAGCCACATGCTGACTGCTGAGGCATTTGATGATTGTTGGGACTTGCATAGGCCGGCAGGTTCGTATTAGCCTGAGTTGCCCGGCAGTTGAGGACCGTGAAGGGCGAGTCGATGCTGATTTCAAAGTGCCGGCGCTTCTTCCCCAACGGATCCTCGGGGTCTACGCGACTGATTCTCAGAACAATCTTGATCCAGTGATAGACATTGACACTTTTCCAGCTACAATCTGGATGGAGTCTGAGATCCTTGCTCCTCGCCATCATTTGACACGTTGGAAGCTGGACGTTCGCCTCAATCTCTGTAGACCCCCACATATGCTCCAGGCCAAGGTCAAGATCACCAAGCATGTTGTTGGACGGTTCGGGGAGTGGTTCAACAGCCCTGCCGCGTCTTTGCGCCTCCCGCGTGCGCCTCAGACTCGCAATTTCTCTGGCCTGACGACGCTGGTCCGGCTCGAGCTCACCGCCGCGGACAGTGGTAAGATCTGACGTGGCCCACGACGCATCAAGCGGCTTCCCAGCTGCCTTCTCAAGGAGCAGGATCTTGCGTCCCTGATCCTTTCTCGTGACGCGTTTATCCTTTGTCCAGTACTCGATGGACTCCGTCACGTAAACCTTCAACTTGTGCAGTTGAACCTTGGCGAGTGGAGTGAGCTTGAAAGCAATCGGAATCTTTGAGCCAATGGGGAAGCTCTTCCCAGAGATTACAATATCATAGTGAAGTTGGTCTTCCCATTGCCTTGATATGGAAATTGGTTCGGTTGTCTCCAGAGACATTTGATCTGGCAGTCGCACGACCGAAACCTCCTTGGTGCCATGCAAGTTGGGCTTGAATGCGCCGGCACGGTCCACGCTCGCATGAAGCTCCCACTTGACTGAGCCATATTGCAACTTGATCGTTTCTAGCTGGTGATGATCAATTGGCAGCTCAAACGAGTAGTCGTAAGTGCCTGGATAAAACACCTTGAAGCCCTTGACTTGGGTTCCCGTGTCCAATCCGTTTTCGCTCGTGCCAAAGCTGCGTGACTGTGTATTCTGCAACGACAGTCTCTTGAGCTCCCTTGCCGTCAAGCCACCTCGTGAAGACGACGAGAGCAGCAGGCTGCCGGGACGATGTGACACTGAAAGACTTGTGCTACTTGAGTTTGCCGAACTGGATTTCAACTTGAATGTGCACTGGTTTCCATACTCGCCTTCCCAGCCGTCATGCGTCGCATTAAAAAATGTCAACACCTGCGTTCTCAAGCTTTCTTCCTCACAAACGTCTTGCTTCAAGGGGGGAATGCCCTCGGGCCATTCGGTGCGGGCACGTCCCAGCAACTTTAGCTGCACTGCCTTGATCTTGACATTCTTGGTTACGTTGAGTTGCAGCTTGCCACGCAATAGGGCCGTGCCACCCTGGCCGTCGCTTTGCACATGGCCGTCGTGATCAAAGCCTGTGAGGAAGATGTTGCGTTCGGCAAGGACTATTGAGCAGGTGACGCCGCTGCCGCTTGCGACAGGCTTGGGGACCTCGGTTACGAGTGAGGTGACCGCAGACTTTGCAGAGCGGACAGACATGAGGCTGTTCCGTTGACTTGCGATGTTGTATGCAGCCGGAGAATTGGCGATACTGTTGACCACAGCCATTTCGTCCAAACAGTGTAAGTGTGAGTGAGCGGGCGAGAGTCTTGGGCGATGCTGGTGGGCCTGCTGTGGGATCTGGGCTGCCGAGTCCTGATGTGCGTCGTCATAGGCCGGGGACGCCAGCACCCCTGTCGATGCCGATGGTGTCGCCGCGGGGATAGCGGAGAGCGCCGGTACCTGCGCCTGCCCTGGTGTTGGTGTCAGTGGTGCGTCTCGTAGAGGCGAGCTCTGGGGTGTGTTTGGCGACAGTCCTGAAATTGACGCAATGAGCTTTCCCAGAACAGGTCCGAAGATTTGCGACGACGACGATGTCGATGAGTGGATTCTCTTGTTGTGGAAAATGTTGCTGTTACGGCGGCTGCTGTAATTACTAGTGCTTTCGCCAGTGCCCGGGTTGGCGGCGCCCGAAATCATCAACGGGACTCCCGGGTCAAGATTCGATCTTGATGATGATCTCTCGCCGCGGTTCCTCTGTGTTCGTTCCCTATTGGCTTTTGCGTCGGCGCGTAATTCACGAGGCACGTATCCAGATGGATAGGTCACGACGTGTATGGCGTGGGGTCTTGATCGTCTTGGGCTTATTAGCGGTGTAGGGAGGCACTCTTCTTGAGATGGCGGTCGGCAAATGTCGATGTGGGCCTCGGGGCGGTAGAAAATGCCAGTGCTGTTTGTTTCCAGCCAAGGGCCTGAACGACGTCGACGTTGCTGCCGTGATGCTGTCATTGTGATGTGTTAACAATCTGATTTATGTTGCGGCCGCGACTGCTTCTTCACAGGACCGTGCGGATGGGTTGCTGCAACGCAAACAGGGCGCTGGCCGAGGCTTTGCGAAGTAACGCTCCGAGGCAGCTCATGCAAGCCGGGTTGATGCAGCAATATGGTGATGACGAGCATGAGCCAAGGGGCAGCAAGCAGGGAGGAAGAAAAAAAAAACAATCGGATAAGAAGGGGAGAGGATTGTCTTTTAGCCCGTAACGATTTCCCTGATACAGAATGGGTCTAGAAAACGGCCGAAACGGCACTGGCCGTCATCTCAACCGGATGGGGCAAGGGTTGACTTGGTTGGCTTGATTATAAGAGCAGTTGCTTGGTCAAACTCGGTGTTGATGGGGCGGGCTGTTTATGCAGTCGACGCCAACGTCCCAAGGCCCGAGACCTGAGTCAACTGGTCTTTAAACTTAAGACACAAGGTTGAGCGCATCAAGACCCAAGGTGGAAAGTAAAATTAGACGGTGGAGAGCTTGTGAAGTGTCATTGTCAGGCACCAAACTTGCTGAATGTCTCGGGACCAGGCGCAGCCAGTCGTGAAAATGCTGTACAGGGCCGCAAATTAACGAGGAATAGCGTCGCGGGAGGGTGGTGAGTGAGACTGAGGTGCACCGCCCCAGACAGAACGGAAGATGAGCCGTACCGAGGACTCCGTCGTAATGGTTTCAAGATGCCGCGCTCTGAGCTGCCTTCCGGCTGCAACCAGCTTGTGATGCGAGGCGTCAATTGCCTTTGCACCTTGGGGGCATCTCCGATGCCACGCGGCGTATTAAAGTTTAAAAAGGGGGACTGACTCGATCCCCAGATATGGTGAGGATGCAGCGACGACAACTAGAAACAGCCTTTCGGTGGTGACGTATATGGTTTATAGGCGGACGCAGTAGAGACGTTGCTCGAGTCGTGTGCGCGTGCAATCCAGGCCAACTCGGAGACGGCGTCTGGTGCCAATAAACCGACAAACCCCGAAGCCTCTGCTGACGCGCGTTTGAACAAGGGCCCGCGGCGACTGGCCGGATGGGCAGCCTGTACTCTGTGCAGGGAGGGAATAGCAAAGCCAAGATCCGAGAGACGAGAAAGTCAACGGATCGAAAGAGGCCGAGGGAGTGAGGCCAGGCAAGGCAAGGGGGGCCCTCGAGTTTGGTTCCAAGGGCAGAACGAGAACGGCAAATTGCATGTGTGTAGCTGAGCTGGCGAGACAGGACTGAGGGAGCAGGACAGGAGGGAAAAGGAGAGGGGAGAAAATAAAAAGAAAAAAACTTTTTAGACGCTAGAACTCTGGCGCAATACATCATTCATTACTCACAATTCTACTTTCCGCTGGCTAATCCGGGGAGAAATGGATCGGGGCAGCAGCTGACGGCAGGTGCGATGCAGAGATGAAGGAAGGGACGACCGTGTCAGAGGACATGAGGGCTCGACACTAACCAAGCTGTCACTTCAAAACTCTGCTGGAACAAGAGGCTTCGAACGGACGCGGAGTCTGCGACGGCGGACGGTGCTACTCGTGCAGGACGAGAACAAAAGGAACCAAAAGGTAAAATGAAACCTGGTTCGTGTATCGTCGTATACCTTCAATCGCACGCTGAACAGGGGCCAGGAAGGGAACCGAGTCTGTTCCGAGTCCGACTACGTCAACGATGCCGCTGCACACACTCTCCCTCCTCCCCCTCGGACATGGGCTGACAGGGGAGACAGGACAAGGGTCGAGCGACAATGGATCTGGGGTCAGATGCGGTCAGCTATTGATGGGGCCGGCACGACGAATTAGTAAACCCTCCCATAAGCCAAGCACCAAGCACATGCCTGTTTGTCACCTCGACGGCTTGCCCACGCTCCGCAAATGCCGGCGTCGCGTCGCATTGACGAGTGGAGAGAGGGGATGCCGACCAAATCTCTTGCGAGCGCTTGTATCCAACTCGAGTCGAGCCCAACTAATAATAAACAAAGGCCAAGCCTGTCGGCACGAGGCCTGCATGACGCGAAACACGAAACTCGGCACAATGCCACTTGGCTTCACCAAGCAACCAAGCAGTAGCAATAGACAGCACGGCAAATCAGGGTCGCCTGATGGCGATGGAAGTACTCACCAAAGCTCTCTGTTCCGTATTTCGCTCGATAGTCGAGAGAGGGATGCGCCACGGTAAACTCGGCTGCCGGCGTGAGTTTGGGCTCCAGCGCCACGGAGAGGCAGAGGTGCTTTGCTTTGCTCCAGCTCAATACAGAACTGAGCTAAAAGGAAGTATAAGGCAAAGGCGTTGAAAAAGGCAAGTTGAACAGCCTGGGTGGCTTGTTTGCTCGCAAATTGGCTGCAAAGTTCAAGCCAAGTTACCTTCCCGATGGATACTTCGAAACGCGTCGCCACAGGCTTTGGGCAGGGGCTGCAGGGCTTGATATACCTCTCTGTTCTAACTTCTCGGTGCAAGATGCGTGCCTCAGCTCTGGTTACGTAGTTGATGCTATTTGGTGCAGACCATCGCCGACAGCCTCAGTCCATGGAGCGAAAGAAAGAAAAGGCTAACGACTTGGGTAGTGAGCAAATCCCGATGGACACTAGTTTTTGCACCGCGATCGATCTGCGATGTGTACTGCTACTGCTATTCCCTGCCATCAGTGGTTATGAAAGAAGCGGGTCGTGGACAGCCGCCGTCCGTAATTGTCGAGGGCTTGCCGTTTTGTCCCGTCTGGGAGAAGTGTTGCGAAGCTTTGGTGGCGCGGTGCCGGCGCCAATCCGCCTAAGGTTGAGCATCCGACGAGCAGCTCACCGTTGGTTGAGAGTGTGTTTTCCGGCTGCAAACCAGGATGAGTTCTCAAATGATCAGTAGCCTACGCTAGGCGTCATTATTGATTCATCATTCACACTGATTCCGTCGACGAGACTAATACCGCGTGGCAATCCGCATTGCTGACGAAACGCCATCCAACCTGTGGCAGCCTCCTTTCTCGACGCAGAACAGCACAAACCGCGCATTAGACAGCCATGACAGCTCGCTTCGAATGGTTTTTGATTCATGGTTGCTCAAACTGTACGGGGCAACTTGCGAACACCATACGGACCAGCTACAGCCGAGAAAGGGGCTCATTCTCCGGCTGCTCCGCCGCTGTATGCCACCCCGTCTGTGGCTCCCCTCCCTCACAAAGACGAATACGACTCCAGCAAGCCGAGCTTTGTCCCGTGACTCCCGTCACGTCACCTCATGTCGTGAGCTGCGACGCCGCAAGATCCGAAAGAGCCGAGTTGCGAGCGCCCTGACCGGGTAGCCTTTGTTCTCCCCCTACACTGAAATCGCAAGACCCCTTATTCTGATACTATACTACTATGTACGACCGTGTGCGGCAAGGGCCCAAAGCCCAAAGCGCATTGTGACCAGTGTGAACCTGGTTTCCTTGGTCCTAGTCTCTTGGACAAGGGTTCACATGTTTCTGCACCATGGTCAATCGCGCGCGAACAGGCTGCCCTCGCCACGGTATACTAATATTCCGGCTGAGTGAAGGGGAAAACCCCCCGCCCAGCCAAGGGGAAGTCTTCCGCCGTTATTATTGCTCGTTCCAGCATGTGCTTGCCGCTCCGCCACGGCATTATGCGCATAGCGCCATGCAAGATGACTCACGCCTCACTCGCGATCTCGTTATACTACCAGCAACCTTGTTCGTTTGGTTTGGGTCCTGCAAATTTCCACGGCACTGGAAGGGCATCGAGCCCGCATTACACGCCTGGCTCCAGTCGCATGACCCGGGCTACTTGCATTGACAGAGAATGCCTATATGCGTACACGGACTCAGACGACATCCCTGGACAAGTACGTCATTATCCGGGATTCCGGGGCTGCCGTCGCCCCATCGACAACCCTGCGTCATTACTTTGAAACGACGTCAACAACAGTGGCGCCCACGATGCAGAAAGAAAAAGGCCCTAGACGGCCACGAAGGTTACGCGACTCCATGGTGCGGAACTCCAGACGTGAAGGAAGTATGCCGTGGCTCGCGCGCTCGCAGTAACGGGTCGGTATGTTTTCTCGACGCAACAGCGCGTCAAAGGACGCGCGGACACTGGGGAGGCCAAAGCGGGCTTGATAAATGTTTTAACCCCGTATGCTGCAACATGTTGGACATAGAATGGCAAGGCCCAAGGAACACATGACATGGAATCCACTGGGGCTGAGTCCTGAGTCCTGACGCCTCCACCAGCGCCATGGTTTCTCTGTGCCGGGGCTGGGCACTACTTGGACATGGAGATGAAGCTATTCAAGGGGGACAAAACATATATATTAGAAGAAGAAAAAAAGGATGCAGTCTGGCTGAATCTCCCGTCTTCCGTTTTCTTTTTTTGCTCAAAGCACCCCGCACACATTGTTGTACGTAGATCTGCGCCCCGGCATACGGTCATGTAATAATTACATTTAAAACCGATTAGGGCGCAAACTACAGCCAAGAAATGGAGGTAGACCTGTACAAAGCCAGCCATTGACAAGGAGGGATGGCAATGACAAAGTCTCTTCCATCACGTGCTGACAGCAACTCAAAACAGAAAACAGGCCGCCGCCAAAGTCCACGTCGTGACAGACAAAAGAAATTGTGCCAGACAGAACCCAGTGTTTGGCAAACTAGTGGCTGGCTGGCGTACGGGCTCTACGCGCTGACCTGGACCTGCCGGCCCGCGGGAGGCTTGTCCTGGTCCTTCTGATCGTCGTCGCCATTCGCGGGCTTCCCCGTCAACGGGCGGTCAGGGTCATACCCGACAGCCTTCACAATGCCCAGGCCTTTCGTACGGCCCTCGCGGAACAGCAGCCTGTCGCCTGGCGCAAGGTACTCGGGCCGCTGGACGAACTGGAATGCAACCGTGGCCCTGTCCCCTGTCCGTATCAACTCCCTGTCGATGTCGATGATGGCACAAGTCTGCGAGACTGGCCCGACGTGGAGCATTGCCTGGTACTTTTTCTTAATAGTGGTTGCGTGGGATAGAATCAATACTATTGGAGGATGGAGAGGAAAGAAGAAGAAGAAGAAGAAAGTCAGTACTCGCGCTAGTAATATCGCTCGACTGCTCCGAGGCGGGCGTGCATTTCTCACCTTCTGCAATGAATTCTCTGTGAACCTTGGGGCTCGGCCCGCCCTCCACCTTGGGAAGTACAACCATGCCCTTGCGCACGTCTCTACGCTTCACCTTCTTCAGCGCGAATGAGGCAGACTGGCCAGCAACAGCGGCGGGCACACGTATTCTCTTGCGCTCGATCGATCGAATGGCTGTCGGTGTGAATTGTCCCAGGGAGTCGGGGCCAATCAAAACGTTGTCTCCCTCATGAATCATGCCGGACTTGACGATTCCAGAAACGACGGTTCCTGTAAAGGGCACCGAGAACGTGTCGTTAACATGAAACTCGAACGGCGCATCCGTGTTGTACTTTCCGTGGTGAGGAAGAATATTCAGAAACGTCCGGACCAAATTCAAATTTTCCCCCGTCACATTGGAAACCTGGAACACGGGACATATTCTCTGGCTGACAAACTGCGTAGCCGTGTTGATACACTCCTCGCGGTTCTTGATAAAGGTAGGAACCTTGCGGGCCCCGGGGCTCCTCATGATCTTGGTGATCTGGGTAATGGTCTCCTCGAGAATATTTGGAGGACAAATGTCGATCTTGGTGATGATCACCATGACGGGGACGTTGAGAGCGAGGGCAATTCCCAGGTGCTCTTTGCTCATCCCAACCAGCCCGTTGTTCGCGGCAACCATCAGGAGACAGTAGTTTGGGCTGCTGGAAAGCAGTCCGAAGACTGTTGTTCTCAGGTATTTCTCATGGCCAGCCAAATCGCTTAAGGTGATTACCTTGGCACTTCGCTTGCCAATGTCCTCCCACGATAGTTTTCCTATCACAGTCATGAGTACAGTGTCAGATGAAGGAGGCTTCCAAGGCAACAGAGGGCCGCTTACTTCCCGGGGTATCAGAAGTGACTACCTGGCCAACACTGTCGAAGCCCATAATCTCCATTCCGACGGAACTCGTTCGGCCACTTTCGATTTCATGCTTGTGGCGGAACAGATTTACACGCGCTTTGCCTCTGCCGTCATCCAAGTCACCCTTTACCAGCACTCCGAGCATGGAGCTCTTCCCAGCATCAACTAAAGGACCGGAATCAGTTCCCTACGTGTTTTTACCCGTGATATTTACTGTGGGGGCTGACTTACCGTTACCAACCACCGCTATTCTAGTCTCGATAACGTCCTCAACGTTCGTAGGAATTCTTCGTATAAGAATCTTGCCGCTGCACCCGCCTCCCTTGTCGGGCCTCTTGATCGTGCCCTCTGCCTCGAGTTTGCCACCGACGTTCTTGGTCAGAAGGAGTTCACAAGCAGCTCCTGCGGCCTTTGCCGCGTCCACCAATCGTTTGTGCGCCGCCCTCCAGTCATTGACGGCCAAGTTCATTGAGTCTCCGTTGTTTTCAAAGCCCAGCTCGAAAACGGTCTCGCCCATCCCCTCCTCAATTCGGTCAGCAATTAGATGACGGAGCTTCTCAAATGTCTGCTCATCCGTGCCAAGGACGAGATCTCTGAGGGGTATCCTCGGTGCAGTGTCTGCCAGGTCAAGATGATCAAACAGTTCATCCAATTCTTCATGATGCTCGGCGTCATGGGCATGCGACCCGGCGTCAACGTTGGTCCGTCTTGACGCAGGAAAACGGAGGTTCTGCTGCTGCTCCACGTACTCGGCAAAGTCGCCCAGGGCCTTGTGTTCTTGTGAGACCAGCTTCGACCACGACTCGGTGGGCTATGTAGAACTCACAGACTCGCCCTTGCGCTTTTCATGCGCCAGTGCCTTTGTGTTCTTGTTGGACATGGCCATTCGTTGGGCGACACGACCGGGCCAGGTTACATCAATATTCGAGGTATCATTGGATTCTCTTCTTCTCTGCAGCAGTAGAGGAGGAGACAGGAGAAGAAACACAACAAGTCTTGAGGCTTTGCTGGTGGGAGATATGAATAACTCTGACTTGGATTATTGAGTCACGGCTTTGGCAAGTTGACTCCGTCTAGCTGCAAGGAGTCATACATGGACCAAGTTGCAATCGATTCCTGGTCGTGGGGCGAAACAACTAGTTACGAGTTAGTAGCATCCGGAAGCCAGGCGTTATCGATAAGGATCGGGCAGCACGTCTGCCCCGGCATTCCTTTCCTCTGGACCCGGTATTCATACACGCACCAATCAATGACCGGTCTTGCCCACAGACAACTAACTACCTACCCTACGCACTGGTCATGTTTTGCAGCAGAGGCTGCGGACAGAAGTAATTGGAATTTTACCATTTTTTGTTCCTTTACCTTCTTGAAAAGTCAGATCCCCCTCCAATACCAGCGACTAACATGGCCAGCCAGGGAATACGAGCAAGGACTCCGAAAGCTAGCCCCCAACCAGGTCTTTGGCTCATGCTAAGACTCACAAACCTTGGACTGTGGTTCCCGCTCAAACGATCGCATGCTGACTCTCCCAGGCCAACGAGGCTCTTTGATGGCTGCCGGAGTTACAAGCGTGATGAGAGGTTGTGACGATGAATCAAGTCATGAACCTATTCGTCGATGCCAGGTGTTCTCTGTCAGAGGCCCACGCCCCGTCGCCACACAGATCAGAAAGCAACCTGGGGTGATATTAAAACAACGCTGTCTCCTTTGCTTTCATGTCAGCGCAAGCGGCGGCTCTCACAGCATCATGACTTACCCCTGACAAAGAGCATTTCTGACTTGCGGTTGATCGTCTCCTCGTCCTCGTCGACTGCGTAAATAGTTTCCTCGACCTCACCGAGAACCAGGTTGCAATGGCTGTCATAGGCCTACAGTGTGTCAATCATGGCATCCACGCATAATCAGCTTTCGCAATCCCTCACATGAAGCTTGCCCTTGAGCTCGCGGTCACCCCTGAGCTTCACGAAGACCACCTCGTTCAGCAGCAGCCGGACGAGGTCGAGGGGTTCAGAGACGTGACCGGCGTCATCGCCAGTGTCGGCCATCTTGTGCGAAATCGACGAGCAGCTTGTTTCCCTTTGAGACAAAAGACTTTCCGGCGTCGGGCTACCAAGGCTGCGCGCGGTTCCCTGGGTCGGCGCGTCAAGTTGAACGCTTGAGTCGGTGTCGATGAGAGGCGATGCGTACGGGGAGTGAAAAGGTGGAAAATCCTCGGGTGCTTGGCATGCATGGCACAGTTGACAACAGGGGCCTGTTTAGCACTCCGCAAGCGCGGGGGGACCGCAAAGCCAGCCCCTCGCTCAGTGTCAATCAATGGCATCGGGGGCCTTGCTGCCCCTCCAATCGGTCCCCGTCATTCGTCGTCTCCACCTCTCGGCGCGGCAGGCGCGAGCCGTCATCCAGATGCACTTTTGTCCGGCCACCTCGACCTCTTGTTCATCCTTGGCTGCTCGGCGCGGATTGCTGGAGGGGCTCACCTCGAGACAATGGCCCTGAGGAGACCTCTCTGGTTCAAGGCGAGCTGGAATCGGCTGCCTGCCGCGAGCCCGTCTCGGACAGACAGCCCGGTCCGACGTGCCGGTTCCAACTCCAAACTCCTCAGCCGGGCACAACCTCGACAACGACGACATCTGGCCTCCCATGCACCAACGGCTGCCGCGACACCTCCTCACCAGCATCACCTCGCCGGATTGATGCCCCCTCGTCAACGCACAGAGCTTGACCGCGTGTTGAGTGCGGTGCAAACCCAGGGTCCTGAGCTGCTGCGCAAGGCATTTCTCCAATGGACCAGAATCCTCGGCAACACCAGCTCGCCCCTCAACGACGCTGCTGTCAGGCAGGCGCAGGAGCTCCCGGGCCCATCATTCTCCGAGATACTACGCAGCATTGACCCTCTGCTGGCGCCAAGACAACACGATGTCGCCCATGGGCTCAACCTGACGCAAGGCCTGACCGAGCTTACCGACGCCGGCAAGTGGCTCGACGAGTTTGGAGTCCGCAATAACCATGTCCAGGTGCTACGCGGCATCAAGGTGCTCGTGGAAGTTCGCAAGCGCTCACGCCACGGCCTGACACCAGCTGACTTTGACGTCTTTCTGCGATGTGCTGGCGCTGCCGTCGATTACCAGGCAGCCAAGCGCTTCTGGGCCACCATGCCTGCCTTGGGCCTACAAGATTCCCGAACCTCCAGGACCTGGACGGAATTCATCAAGTCTCGCTTCATGATCGAACCCACCTACTATCAATGGGACCGCTCACGTGTGGCCGTCATGGCCCGAGACCTGTACAGAAACCGCGCTCCTCTTCCCATGGCCAAGTTGAAGCGCTTGGACAGCCTGAGACACTGTATCAACGCGTTCAAGAAGGAGCCCTGGAACCGAAGGCGAGATGAACCGGACGAGGATATGCGACGCCTGTTCCGTCGACGAATTGATTACCGCGGCTACAGGGGCCACTGGATCCGGGCCTTGTTCTACGGCCACGACGTGGACGAAGAGCTCCTCTGCGCATCTCTCGTGGCCTTTGCCCGATCCAGCTCCCTGCATTCGATCAAGACCCTGATTCTCAAAAACTACTACGGCATCATCATCGAGGAAGACGCCGAATCCAACCCCGGCATCCCCCAGATTTCAGGCGGAGTCGACCTCCCTCCACACTCACCCATCAAGCCCACCGCCAGGTTCCTCCATGCCGTCGTAGAAGCGTTTGGTTCCATGTCACACATCCCCCTGGGCATGAAGCTCCTCGACTTTGTCTCGCGACGATACAATGTCCCCATCCGCCACGAAACATGGTCCAATCTCCTCAACTGGACCTACCTCTGCGCCTCCAAGCCCTTCAGGTCCATGAGGAAAATCCACGGAGACTTCCCATCCACGGCCACGTCCAGCGCCGACGTCCGAGAAGTCTGGAAGGTCATGACGTCCCCGCCATACAATGTCACCCCGTCATTCGACGACTACGACATCTACATCAAGACGCTCCTCGCGCAGCGCTCCTTCGGCCGCGCCCTCACCCTGGTAAGAAACGACATCCTGCCCTTCTACGAAGCTGCCGTCAGCGACCACGAACTCGCCATCCAGGACGAAATCTTGCAAAATGATCTCGGGCCCTCCCCTCAGGCCACCCACCGTCGCCACCAGGCAGAAGTGTACAGGGACTACGTGTACCACCGCATCTCGGGCTGGTTCTACAAGCTCCTCAAAACCGCCTCCTCAAACAAGGGACATCGCGACGGACCCGTCATGAGAACCATGATACCAGACCTCTTGGTCGAGTTCGCCGATTTCTTCCCCCATCGGATCCGGTACCGTACTGCCCAGGGCATCGTGAGAATTGACCGCCCAGAAGCCATTCGCCGCTTCGAGTGGACCCGAGACTGGCGGGAGACGTTGGCGCAGAAAAAGGCTGGTATCCACGTTCGCGACATAGACGGCGCCGACGAGCCCGACTTTGCGTATCCCGAGGCGCCTGTCCTCAGGGTGCTGGAGTCGCGGCGCACCCCTCGGAGGAGAATGGCCAGGCTGGGGATGGCGCCCGAGAATGCGAACTCAACAGCGTGGTGGCATCAGCTCGAGGAGGAGCTTGTCCTGTAAGACGTGCGGGCATGTATGTATTCTGGAAGCATTTGCGCCATGGAGCATGGAGCACGAGCATACAATTTGCGTACCAGTAAGGCGCATCATACGTCATGGCACAGGCTAGCACGCATGTGCCTAGAGTTTTGCATGTTCAAGATGATGTCACTTCATCATGAAGACTATTTGACTGCCATCGTGATAGTACATTTCCGATCGTCATACAAACGAAAATGCATAATTGTTCACATTCTGTGTTCTGTGCACCGTCTCACCGTCTCTCGTCTGCCATGCCTCGTTGCAAAAGCAGCATATTTCCATTCGGGCTATCCAGCCCCAACCAGCAATCAGAAACAAATAGTCATAACTACCCTGTTGTGCAGCCTGGTGTTCGCTTCACCTTGGCTCATAAATTGCAGACCCATTTCCCCAACGACATACACTTCGACCCCTCCCCTTCCCTTGAAGCGCATACAAGGGCGAAAAGACCTCCCTTGTCATCATACATGGTCCTGTGATCCCCCTTCAGTTCGTGTACGCGTTGATGAAAAGACAGATAGACAAAAAGAAAAAAA